AAATATAAATGCAAGAAATTTAAAGATTAGGACAAGATTAGAGTTTAAGATCTTGATGTTCATCATGCATGATGAACAAATACACCGATCATTACTCCAAATCTTGTTTGTTGGTGTTTATTCAATCCATTTGTGGACAAAAATGCATTGCAAACCAATAAAGATTGGTTCTTTGCTACTGGATCTTTGAATCGGGTCTATTTTATTGATTATTCACATCCTGGACCCCTAAAACGAAGTGTTTGGCGCCATAGGAGAAGTGGCATGCGCCACACGTAGTGGTGCTAGGCACTTTCCCTGATTAAGTGGTCACGGAGTGAAAACAGAGGCTCAGGAGCATGTCTGTGAAGAAGTGGTGCAGGCCACTTGCTTGTGTCGCACACCACACATTGTGACTTGCGCCACTACTGTATTCAGTGTGCCACTTCAGCACAGATACCTCTGTTTTGATTGATACCCGGGTTTCCCTCACAACCAAGCTTACGAAGGGTGATTTAACACCAAAATAGAAAGAAAAATAGATGGAGAAGGAAATTAATGGCTCTCAGAAATTGCCTTTTAGAGATTTCCGAACATTTGTGATAGATTAGATCCCAAAAGTTGAGTTCTTGGATCAAAGATATGTGTTTTAGATTAAATGAATGTGTTTATGGACTTTTTAATGAATTCTTCAGGATTTTTTTATCAGAAATCAATGAATACAACTCTAGACCAAAGTAAGAAACACAAGTTTCAATTTTGATTTGAGTTGAATTTTCAAAATGAAAGAGCTTCCTTAAGTTCCCCCCCCCCCCCATTTCAAAATGGAAGAGAGCTGCCCTTAAGTGTCCACACCCCCCCCCGGCCAAAAAAAGAGAAAAAAATGAAGGTCCGCCTTTTACCATAATCTCAAGGCCCTATTTATAGGCAAATGGGATATGTGTTGCCCCATTTTAAGAGCTTATGTAGAAAAAATGCCACTGTGAACCCAAAATCGCAGCCGGAGCCCAATTCTTTTGAGCAAAATCGACCCAGTAGCATTGGACAAAACAAGGGCAAGTTGAGCCTAAAAAAAAAAAAAAAAAGTCCCCCTTTTACACTAATCTCAAGGCCTATTTATAGGCAAATGGGATAGTGTTGCCCCATTTTAGAGCTTATGTAGAAAAATGCCACTGTGAACCCCAAAATCGCACCGAGCCCATTTTTACAAAATCGGACCCAGTAGCATGCAAAACAAGGCAGTGAGCTGGGCTGGCCCGAAGCGCTTCTCGAGTTTGGTTTCATTGCGAAACGCCCGATGACTTGAGAATGTAAAAATGGTTAAACGCATGTCTTATCTTAGCTACAAACCGTTGGTCCGAAAATCGGAGGGATCAGGAGTCTAGATCCAATTTTATGTTAAAAACGGTTTATCATCGCTGAGCCATTAGGGGCAAAATTTGAGCGTCTACACTTCCCTTTTAGATGCAGTCTTAGACATATTACTTGCACACCTGCCTCTTCTAACATCCCCCTCTACATCACCCCTGCCTCTACCAACACTACTCACTCTACCCTTGCCTCTACTAACACCCCTCGATCCAGCCCTACCCCTATTAACACCCTTGAATCCACTGCTGCCTGCAACGCTACAACCAGAAAATGAACCACCAACAACACCCTCCTCAATACCATCCCATATACGAGAACCGTATATAAACTGGTTCTCTTCACTACCACCAGCAACACCAATATTACCCACATTTCCCACATTAGGAACTTCACTCTGTTGAGTACCATGAGTACCTATATTACCCACATTTTCCACATTAGGAACTTCACTCTATTGAGTACTATGAATACCTATATTTAAATAAGCTTCCTTTCCCTAAATAGTTTATCATGTTCAGGCATCTCATAATCCAAGTCAATGTTATCTCCAAATTGACTTGGTCCATGTCAGAAGCTTCAAGTGGCACACAGTTTGTATTGCTGTTAACCTCAGAATATTCTCCCACAAAAATAACAGTCTCACCATCATCACCAAGTGGTCTTTCAAAAGCCAAGAGCTCTACATTCCTTGCAATTACATTAATTTCAACCTCCCTATCTTCCTTGAATATCTCAAACATAGCTAGTAAATCCTCATCTTTTTCAATGGTCATTATATTATATACACTTATCTCAAGCAATGTAGCATTAATTCTGACAAACTTATAGATATCTTTTACCAGTTTGCAATAAGAATACCTATCAGTGTCGATATGTGAGATTGTTGCTACCTTATCCCCAAAATTAACAAATATCCTAAAGTATTAAGGGAAAGACATCCTGTAATGAAAAAACAGAGTATCATTATTTGTTTCTAACTATCTAGGTATATACTTCACCAAAACCCTAACTTTTTACTCAATTTTCTCAATACCAAAAGCATTCAAAACGAAATGAAACACAACTATTCAATACAACAACTATTTTAGAAGCATCAAGATTTCAAAAAAAAAAAAAAAACCAAAATTTTGAACTGAAAGTGTTATATGAAAGTCGTACATTTCTTTCTTCGAAGACAATTTTCACGAAATGAGCAAAGAAACACTATTTCAATCCTTCTCGACTCCTAATGCCAGCTTTTAAATAACTTCAATGCTTGTATTCCATATGGAGAAGAACCCAAGAGTTGTTCTCGCGACATAGAAACTTTTGGGTTTTCTTTTCCGCTTTTCCCTCCAATGTTTTTATCTCCTTTTGGGTTAGCTAAATATGAGGTCAATCTAGTCTTTACCATTGACTTAACACCTAAATGGGTGGATTTAGGATGAAAGGGCAACTTGCTATAACGAAAGCATAATTTAGATATATCTAAGTGTATTTTCCAATATAAAGGGACACTCATGTTAATTTGCATATTTTATAGGGATAAAAATGTACTTTTCTGAAAAAAAATTATAGCCAAGATTACAAAGCAAATCATGCTAGAATCTAATTTTGTTTCTCTACTTTTCTAAGTTTCAAATTTAAAATAAATAAATAAGTTAATTAATTAATAAAAAAGATTGCATAAAAAGAAATCCTCTCCAAATATACTTCGATTTTCCCTACAACCATATAGAAAAAGAAATAGCCAGAGGATTACAAAGCAAATTCATGCTAGAATCTAATTTTGTTCTCTAACTTTTCTAAAGTGTCAAATTAAAATAGAGATAAATAGAGTTAATTATTGAGATAGAGGAAAAGATTGCATAAAAAAAGAAGAAATCCTCTCCAATAATACTTCGCATTCTGGTTCCCTGACAAGCCTAATAGAATAAAGAAAGAAGTATAATCCTGGGGAGTTTTTGTTTTTATCTGTAGCCTAGCCTGCTTAAATAAATTTGAGTATTATGTAGTATTTTAATTAATTAATAAAAAAGATTGCATAAAAAGAAATCCTCTCCAAATATACTTCGATTTTCCCTACAACCATATAGAAAAAGAAGAGTATATTTTTTTCTTTTTTTTATCTCTACCTTAAATAAAATATTATGTATATTTTATTTCAAAATTTATTTTTAAAACAATATATCCAATCAAACCATATAAACATAAAGAAAAAAAGAATGTTAATAAAAATAATATATTTTTTATCTCTCTCCTAAATAAAATATTTTAAATTATAATTAAAATAGAATCAAAGATTTAAAACATAAAATATAAAAATTTTCAAATATCTCGTTACGATGTATATTTATTAAAAAATAAAATTTAAGATTTTGAAATCCTTAATTATCTAGATATATTTATTTTAAAAAAAAAATTTATACATCATATCCAATCAAATGAGAAAACATAATTTTCTAATTGTCTATGATTAAAGTTATATTGGAATATCGGAAATCTCAATATTCACCACCTATTCTCACATTTTTATATAGTATAGATTATAGATTTAATTTTTTTATCAGAAAAATATTTCTTTTAAACTAATTTTTCTAAGCACTTCAAATATTAGATATTTGAAAGTTCAAAAAACGTTTTCCATAAAAATATTTTTAAACTGATTTTGTGGGAATAAATAAAATTTAAATTTAAACAAGTAGAATCTACACCATTCATTATGTGAGTTTTATAGGATGGACTAACAATGGAAATAATATTCTCCCTTCCTTATGATTTTTTCCTATTTTTTTTATTTATCCCAAATTATTACCTTGTTTCTTTTTTTAAAAATAATAATATTTTGAGTTTACTGTTACCTTATTTAATTGGCTACTTTTATCAATCAATATATAGTCAAGTATTACATCGTCATTAAATAAATATCAATATAAATAAAAGATTAAAATACCAAGCTTTCATCTTTCAACAAAACTTTATTTAGTTAAATGTGTGATTATGATTTAATTAATTTCAAAGACAATTTTATATGAATAGCTTAATTTTAATGGAATACTAATAAAATGTTATTATTAGGAAAAACAATGTAGAAATTATAGTTTCATTATATTAAATAATTTTTTTAATATATATATACAAGTCAAAATAAGACAAAAATTATGGAAAAGTGAGTAATTTAAAAGTTTTTTGTTAGTACGGAACAAAAAAAGGAGAAAACTGCGATTTGTTAAATTAAATCAATTTATTACTTTATAAAAATGAAAATAACACAAAATATTAAATCTGATTTTTTTAATCAATTTAAACAAGTTCATAAATTAAATTGACCAAAAATGCCAAATTTGACATTTTTTATCCTATTAAATAAGTTCGGAGACTAAATTGACATTTATTTCGAATTAAAAACTATAAGCACAACAATTCAGCCTTTTCGCCGTTTCCCTTGCAATTATTATCCTGTGTACTCTTAGCTAGGCTAAACGAAATTGGAGAAGCTTGCCATTCCTTGTAGGATCAGCCTAAGAATAATATTCAAGGAATCCTAACATATACTATTTCATATATATAATATGAGAAAAGAAAGTAATAAAGCCACAAGAAAGCAAATTTTTTAGTATATCTCAATGATTAGTATATATCCAGTCAAAGCTCAATTTTCTAGGTTGGACTTATTCAAATGTCATAGTTCACATTTTGATAATATGTATAGACACAAATTAGATCCAAATGCATTAAGTATAAACCAAAAGGTAGAGCACAAATGCAGACTACAGTATATGGAAACACAAGAAAGAAGTACGTACATAATTCAGATCCAAAGCTTTCCTAGAGCACAACACTTTGCAGAAAGAACATAGATTAGGACACCAACTTGTTTATACACAGATGTATTTGATAAAATACTTATTAGTAGTAGTAGTGAGTATCATGCAGTTTAGTTCAACCTTCCTGGTCCTGAATGCAGATGAAACCTTCCAGGTTCTGAATGCAGCTGAAGTGTCTTGCTGGGGACAACTTGAAGAACGCCTGGTTGTTCTGCAATTGAGAGCATAAATATATAAACAAAATTTTAAGTTATTATTTTTCAAATCGAAAGAAGCAAAGTGGAAATAATAATATACAATGATTGCAATGTGCAAGAGAGGCATCAAGTTCATATGAAAGTAAACATTGCAACAATATGCAATATAATGTAATTTTATTTTATATATATATAACCAAGTCATGGAAAATTAATCCGAATGTTGAAAGACAAGCAATACACCAAAAGGTTGATGTGTTTATAAACTATAAGGCCGAGGGAAAGCACACATTCACAAAAATAGAACCTATGAACATGGTCCATAGAAAGACAAACTCGAAAATACAATTTCAGAACAAGAACAATGAAAGAATCATGTGGCCCATCTAAGAATACCCATAACATAGTAACAGAACAAAATGGAAACAGGGTTATTTTTTGATCAAGGAAACTTAATAGAATATTGGAACTGATTTTCCAACACTTGCCTACAAGATCCAAAACCTCCTGCCATCTCCCTTCTCTTATCAAGCTTTTTACATGACATCAAACACTTCCAAAAGTGCTTGGAATATCATAATAATATAATCAAACTGACTTTTCTTTTTAATTTCAATAAGTCCAAATTCCATAGGAAATAATTTGGTTCTTTAGCCTGATGGTCAAGGTGGGTGGGACTATCTAGAACTGGTCACCAACAACAATCCTCTTCCCCACTACCAAAAATTATTGCATTTTTGGAAATCATTCATCCCCCACTCCACATTAGAACACAAAGAATATGTGTGTGTGTGTGTGTGTGTATAATCCTTAATGGGAATCGACAAAAGCACTTGAAACACAATAGACTATCACGAAGAATAAGTATTATATGATAAAACCAATTTTTCGTTCATCCTTTTCCTGTTGTACCCAATTTTTATTTGATTACATTTCCTCGAATAGTAATGTTTTCAAACAAAGATAACGTATAATGATTTATAATCATGACGCCAAAATCATTAAAAACACAATTCAAACAGGCAAACGCAGAATCAAGCAAAGGCAACCTGAAATTTAGGGAAATTGAGAACTAAAAACAAAAAGAGAGGGATTTACTTGAAATTTGCTCCACCTGCGCAGGTGTGAGCTTGGCGGAGAATCCACTAGCAGCCGTTTTGTAGCTGTAAACCAAAGCCTCCTTTGCAGCCTCTTCACTTCAATAACAAATTAAACAAATACACATAAAATCAGAACCAATTTAACATCAATTAACCCAATTTAGCATTGATTAAACAATATCATATATATGAATATACCTGCCGAGAACGGAGGAGAGGGTCCGGATATGGTAGGCCTCAGGATCCTCATTCTCTGGTCTCTCCATGTAGACGATCTGAACCGCTGAAGTGGAGGAATCAGCGGCTGGGGAAGGAACAGAATCTGCCATTTTGATTAGAAAGATGAAAATCAAGAAAATCGCCTGTAGTGATAAATTTCTGGTTCTGTGCATATCTGTGGGTTAGTATTTATAAAGGTTGATGTGTTAGCGTAATATGGTAGAAAACTGAAATTTGGAGAATTTGGGAAGAAATTGAATATGACTTTTCGTTGCATTTGTAGCAACTTAACAATTAAGTAAATTTTTTTTTGTATTGGGGACTCCGCGTCTTGATACTTTTCTTCGGCTTGGTCTGTTAGGGTCTGTTTTGTCTTTTTTCTTTTGGATTGCCTTTCACTTTCAGTTCCATATGGGTTACTCAGGCACAACGCGCATGGTTCTAGAACCACCAGTTTTGATTTTAAAACTATCGGCTCCAGTTATAAAAAAGGTGAAATCGAAATCAAATCGCTTTTAAGTGGTTTTTAAGATGATTTTGGGATCGCCGGTTTTGGTTTTTTCCGATTTTGAACTAAAATTAAATAATATATTTTACACTTTTTAAAATATTTTTTTATGATTTGTAGCTTAAATAAATAATAATAATAATAATGTTACTATTGAAAAAAACTATATCATCTTAATAAAAATTCTTAAACAATTACTTTAAAAAACTATAATAAAACAAAAAAAAAAATGTTTTGATTTTATTAGAAACATGTTTTTCACGATTTCAAACCGAAACAGAACTTTAAGTTCATGGTTTCAGTTACGATTTTAGAGCCATAACCGTTGACAATAGTTTAGTATCGGTTTTAACTGGTTCGGTTCTAATTTGAAACCAAACAGTGGTCATTCCTAGGGCACAATATGGCCGGTTAATTACTAATCAATATAGCCGCAAGGATGTTCATAACAGGAAAAATCTACAAAAAAAAAAAAAAAAAAAAAAAAAACCAACAGTGGGTCATTCCTAGGGGGCACAATATGGCCGGTTTAACTTACTAATCAATATAAGCCGCAGAGGTGTTCATAAACAGAAAAATCTACAAAAAAAAAAAAAAAAAAAAAGAGGAAAAATCCTCAAATCTCCTTAAAATGATCTAAAAGCCATGATTTTTAAAAATGACAGTTAACTTGTTTTGGTAAAATTTTGAAAAATGAATTATCGGTTCAATTTATATTTAAAATTAAAGTCGTTAAAAATCAAATTAAAAATCAAAATTCTTCATAGTTTAAATTACTTATTTACTAAAAAAAAAAAAAAAAAAAAAAAGAGAAAAATCTAAATCATCTAAATGATCTAAAGCCATGGATTTTAAAAATTGACAGTTTAACTTGTTTTGTAAAATTTGAAAAATGAATTATCGGTTCAATTTTATAATTTTAAAATTAAAGTCGTTTAAAATCAAATTAAAAATAATAATTCTTCATAGTTAAATTACTTATTTACTACAGTAACATACTAATTTAAATTTTTCATCAATTACACTTAATCTTAATAAAATTAATTTTAAAATATAAGATAATCATTTTTTATATTTGCAAATAATTTTTTATTCACGATTTGCAAACACTTATTCATTCACACTATATATACATATGTATATATATATATATACTAGTCGAAAAACAAGTGCATGGATATTTAAATATTATTTTATTAGTCGATGTAATTGATTATATTATTATTTTTGATAAACTATTAAAAATTATAAAATTGTTAGGAAGAACAATCCAACCCCTAGTTGATATAATTCAATAATGGTAAGTATCAAAATGATTTATAATAAAGAAAATTATGATATTATTTGCAATAGCATAACTTTGTAAATCTACAACATTATAATCAAGTTTCATTATGAAAGTGGTTCCATGTGAGACCAATCATATGTTGAAACTCGGCAAATATGGTAGTTAAATGGAACTTGAAAAATTACATTATGTTGTGTACAGAACAAGGTTAGACTTGCATGCTCGTATGTGGGAAGGCCAAATGCTGATAGTGTCAAGTGATGGCGTGTTAGTGGCTTACTGAGCTGCTAGTTTATTATTTGCTCTTATTTCATGTTAAGTTATTTTCCTTATTTATCTGATAGTTGATCAAGTGGTAGGGTGGTGGCTATAACCACTTAGTTAGTTGCTTAATTATAGTAATGCTTCCTTATTTGTAGTTGGTTCCCTTTAGGAAAACTATAAAGCTGTACCACTCAGTTATGGAAATCATGATGAATTAAGACAAAATCCCCTTACTCTGTTCTTCTCTTCTTCTCTTCCTAATAAATTCTTATCAATTTTAGTATCAGAGCCCAGTTTCAGGATGGAAACTCGCAACAAATCTAATACTGAGTTTTGCAACGAAGTCAACGAAGATCTTGCCCGTCATGAATCCAATTTTGACCAGCTCAATAGAACCCTACAAACAATCCTAACCAATCTTCAAGCTATTGAAACAACACAACAATCCCAACATACGCAATTACAATCCTTAGCCACAACCCACAGCTCCCATCAAAACCAAACTGACATCAACCCCTTTGGCCAACCTGAATCACCTTCTAGCAATACCCTACCGAATATAACCTCAACCAACTACCATAAGGCAGCAAGCAGTACCCAACCAAACAGGTTCAACAACCATCACCATTTGAAGCTCATATTCCCAAATTTGAATGGGGACGATCCAACAGGGTAGGTCTACAAGGCAAAGCAATATTTTGAGTTCAAGAATGTGGCACCTGAGCACCAAGTTCAAATTGCTTCAATCCATTTGGAAGGGATTGCCTTACAATGGCACCGCTGGTTGACTAAATTCAGAGGACCACTTACTTGGTTTGAATTCAACAAGGCTATCCATGCTCGGTTTAGACCAACTGATTACGAAGATCCCTCAGAAGCATTAATGAGACTTAGACAAACCGATACAGTCTCTTCTTATCAAGAAACCTTTGAAAAAATCTCACATAAGGTAGATAATTTACCTGAAGCTTTTTCTAGTGGGTTGTTTTATTACAGGATTACGGGATAAAATTCGTTTGGATGTCAAGATTAAACAACCCAAAACACTATCAGATGCCACTGGGATCGCTCGATTGATGGAAGAAGGAACTCCTTACGAAAGAAAAATAACAATAGCCAATACAAACCAGTAGGTCTTTTGGGGTATGGACCTACTCCAAAAACTACCAACCAATAAGTTCCTATACGTTGCATTATAAGCCAAGAAGCAAAGGAACGAAGAGAGAAGGGCCTTTATTATTACTGTGACGAGAAGTTCATCTCCAGTCATCGATGTCAACGTCCACAACTCATTATGATTGAGGAATTCCCTCCAACTCTCGAAGAAGATGAGGTTGACAATAATTGTGAACTAATCCCAGAGATTTCCCTTCATGCTATGATAGGTACAAATCACCTTTAAACAATTCGAGTGCTCGTAAAATTAAAGAATCGAGATATGATGGTACTGATCGTTGGTGGCAGCACCCAAAATTTTATAGAACAAATCCTGGCCATTAAGCTCCACCTACCAATATTATGTGACAAAACCTTTCAAGTATTGGTGGGTAATGATGAAAAACTGGAGTGAAAAGAAGGTGTTTGGGACTAAAATTGATGATACAGGGCTACACACTGACAACTGATTTTTATGTTTTATTAGTGTCAACCTATCAGGTAGTCTTAGGAGTTTAATGGCTTGAGACGTTGGGACCCATAGAGACGGACTTTCGTAAGCTGAAGATGACATTCAAAAGCAATGGGAAGCCATAAACATTTTAAGGAATTAGTCACACAAACTTGGAGGCATTGAAGAGTAAGGAGTTTTATCAACTTACAAAACTTGGCTATTTTTTATAGGTTACTTGCACGGAAAAAAAAATAATGGGAGACTCACAAGAGATAGCTCATGACATGCAATAGCTTTTGGATTAATTTGAGATGGTGTTCATACCTCCAATGGAACTACCGCCTTCCCGACAATAGGACCACCAAATTCCTTTGAAACCAAATCAAGATCCTATCAGTGTTCGTCCGTACAAGTATCCTCATTATCAAAAAGCTGAAATCGAAGCCATAGTAAAAGAATTTCTGAAGTCAGGCATCATTTGGCCAAGCAACTACACCTTTTCCTCTCCGGTCCTCCTTGTCAAGAAACATGATGGAACATGGCATTTTTGTATGGATTACCGAGCCTTGAATGAAGCACCATCAAAGATAAATATCCAATACTTATTATAGATGAGTTATTGGATGCACTCCATGGTGCGAAATACTTCTCCAAAATTGACGTCCGTTCTAGATACAATCAAATAAGAGTGCAAGAGTTAGATATATATAAAACTGCTTTCAGGACACATGAAGGGCACTATGAGTTTGTAGTTATGCCTTTTGGCATAACCAATGCCCCAGCCACTTTCCAAAGCCTTATGAATGATGTTTTCGGACCTCACCTAAGGACATCTATTCTGTTTTTTTTTTTACGATATACTTGTGTATAGCAAAACATGGCAGCAGCATTTGCAACATCTCAAGTCTGTGTTAAAGCTCCTTGTCTCTAATTCTTTGGTGGCTAAACATTCAAAGTGCAGGTTTGGAGTTCAACAAGTAGATTATATGGGACATCATATCTCATAAGAAGGTGTTGCAGTAAACCATTCAAAAATACAAGCTGTCCCAGAGTGGCCGATACCAACCATAGTCAAAGGGGTCTGCGGATTCCTTGGCCTTGTAGGATACTGCCATAAAATTCATCTGAGGCTTTGGTAGTATAACAGCTCCCCTTACACAGCTCCATCCAATACCAACAGAGGAGGAGTTTTGTTTAAACAAGGTATGGTACTGTTGAGTCCTCACTCTACTTTAAGTCCTCATATTTTATCAAATAACCACACATCTTGTATTGGTGGCCATTTTGGTCTCCATAAAACTCTTTCCTGGATTCGTTCGTCGTTAACTTGGCCAGGAATGCGTGAGGCAGTCAAAAAATACTTTCGAGAATGTGATAATTGCCAAAGGTGTAAAACAAACACCACTCATCCTATAAGAATTCTCCAGCCCCTCCCATTGCTAGAAAAAATTTGGACGAATATCTCGATGGATTTTATCGAAGGGTTTCCCAAGTCCTAAGGTTATGAAGTGATCATGGTTGTGGTTGATCGTCTAAGCAAATACGCACACTTCATTCCCTTAAAGCATCCCTACACAGCATCACATATAGCTGCTAAATTCATAAAGGAAATCATTAGACTACATGGGCTGCTGTTGACCATGATTTCAGCA